TGCTTCGACCATACCGCTCCTTGCCGTTCCTTGAAACTGCTCAGTACATTTCCAGAACCACAAGGCCTTTGCTCTGCCTGACCCTCTGCCCATTCTTCCAGATACCGCCACAGGTTACCAACTCCTTTACCTCCACATGTGCTGCAATGTTAACCTCGTGGTCTGGGTCTACCCAGACCGCCTTACTTAGAATCCCCCCTTCCTTCCCTATTCCCAGCACTTCTGAGTCCTCTCAACATGTAATAGCATTTTTCATTAACGGCCATCGTCTAACACATGATACTGTGTTGTGTCTCTACCTGCTGGAACATAAGCTCTGATGGGCTGAGATTTTTGTTTTGTTTGTTGCTATGTGCCAAGCATCTAGACCAGTAACCGGCACAGAATCAGAACTGGGTAAACACTTGCTGAATTAATGAATCCTGTCCTGATAACACAGTCCACACATTTGTCAGCCCTCTGGCATTGGGAGACAGAACAAATGCTACTGGAAACTTCTATAGGTGGGCATGGCACTAGGGGCTTTCAAGCATTCAAGTCTCAGCAGCTGGAGGGGTGATGGAGCCTGGATGGAGCCCAAGTTCTAATTTTCCAAAGCCCAGTGGCTTTCAAACTTTTTTTTTTTTTACTCTGACCCACAATTGGACATGATCCAGTACACACACATATATGTAAGTGAATCCAAAATTTTTAAATCGACCATTACTCTTTCAGCAATCCACAGGTATTTTCTCATTAAGAAGCAGCTATTTGCAACCTGCAGAATTATTCACCAGCTGCTCCCAGGTGATGATCCACAGTTGGACAAGGGGTGTTCCATACCCTGTGTCCTGTCAACACCACCTAGTTCTTTATTCCTGGTCAAGGCTGGACTCATTCCTGTGGTTTCTCAGCCTACGTCATCCGTCCACCGAGAATTCTGGGGAATGAGAGGCTGGGATTTTTGGCCCTCCAGTACCAATGTCGCCATTTAATCACAAAGGGTATGTAGCTGGGAATGTACCTCCTCACAGGCGTCTGCTGATTTCACTGTCCTCCAGAACATGATTTTCTGTCTCCGAGAAAGACTCTTAGGCTTGAGGTTAGAGCGGTCGGCTGCACTGAGAGCTTAGCGTGTATCAGACACTTATATGCCTGAAACCAAGCATCTCAGAAACTCAGCGGTCTGCCTCTCCGTAGCAATGAGGGAGCCTCAATTCAGCAAAAGATTTGAGCACTTCCTATGAGCTAATAAGCAGGTTCTAAGCAGTGAATAAGATGGATAAAAATCCCTGCCTTTATGGAGCTCATATGCTGGTGGGGAAAGCAGACAACAGGCAAAAGCAATTGAATAAAAGACGTAACGTGTCAGAAGGTAAATTACTATTAAATAAGGCAGGTTATGGTGGGGTAGGGCTCACTGAGAAGACATTTGAAGAGACACATGAAGCCCTGTGGATAGCTGGGGCAGGGCACTTCAGGCAGAGAGAGCAGCGCATGCAAAGGCCCTGGGGTGGGAGCATGCCCAGATCTTCAGGGAACAAAAGAAGACTAGTCTGGCAGGAGCAGAGGGAGGGAGGCCGGTAGTAGTAGGAGATAAAGTGTGCAAAGGAGCCAAGGGCAGATGAGTCTGCAGGCCACTGTGAGGACTTCGGCTTTTACTGTGAGGTAAATGCCACTGGAGTTTTGAGCAGAGGAGTGAACGGAGCTTACATCTTAAGTCCCAGGCTGCTGGAGAGTAGACAGCAGAGTAAGGGTAGAAGCAGGAAGACGAGTTTGGAGGGGACGGCAGCGTTCTAGAGAGGAGAGGGTGGTGCCTTGGACCAGGCAGTAGTGACGGAGATGGTGAAAAGTAGCCAGATTCTAGAGAAACGATGTGATGTGTTTACAGGCCAGATGACTTGTCTGGCAAGGGTCCTGTCCTGGGAACACAGTAGGATGGGGAGAGCTTCGGTGGAGCAGGTTTTGGGGAGATCAGGAGTTCCATTTTGGACATTTTAAACTCAGGGCCCCTCTTCTGTAGTTGGATATGTGAACTTGGACCTCAGTCAAGTCCGGCCTGGAGATAGACATTGGGAAGTCAGTGCATGGCTGCTGCCTCGGCCAGTGTTCCTCAGAAAGCAGAGCCTAAAGTGGGGGGCTCCTTCGCCCTCATTTTATTTTGCAGAACAACCCCAGAGGAGGAGCAGTGAGGGAGGGAGAGAAGTCAGAAGGAAGAAGAGCTGGCAGGAGGCATTACGGAGCTGGCTCCACTGACCGGGACTGCAGAATCAGCAGACTGGCCGGGAGAAGAGAAGCCCAAGCCCCGTACATGAGTCCCAGCACCACTTCTTGCTGGAGAAGGGGGAAGAATTTATCCACTGTCCCGGCTTCACATTGGTTGAAGATTTGCCCCATGGGGCATTGACTCTGCATTTCTGGGTTGCATATACAAATGCTTAGGTGCTAAGTTGGGGCCCATGGGTAGGTGGTGGAGGTCAGAGGGGCACAGGGTGGGCAGGTTGTGCTTGCATCAAATCACTCAGAGCCGGAACAAAGGCAAGGAAGGCCAAGAAGGTCTGAAGGCATGAAACAGCCCGCCCCTCAGGCCACTCAGAGCGGCTCTTGCCTTTCCCTCCCTTCTTTCCTGAGACAGAAGATGTAAGTCTGACAGAACAGAATCCCCTCTACGATGTGGTAGCCAGTATGATCTCTGCCTCAGAGGGCGAGTGGCCCAAGCTACCGGTCCCTGGTCCACCCCCATTCTAGATCTCTGTTATCCTGGTCTAACGCTGCAGCTGGTCTGGTTATTTCCTGGTGGGTGATCCAGATCTCGATCCCCGGGGGTCTGAGACTTTGGTTGGCTTGCCCTCTTGGGCCGTGATTGCCACAGTTGCCACTTACTGTTATCGGTGAGTGTGGAGACACCAAGACACACGCACGGGGGTTCTCCACAAACCCTGGCCCTTTTGCACAGCAGCAGCCCTGTGCAAAAGGGCCAGGGTTTGTGGAGAATCCGTGGTGGTCAGAATCCGTTCCCCACAGCAGTACAGCAACTCCGTGAAAAAAGGCAGACACAAAAGACCACCTATCGTATGATGGGTGGTCAGAATCCGTTCCCCACAGCAGTACAGCAACTCCCTTTGCCCGAGATGTCGTCCTAGTTTAAGAGCAAGCACAAACGTACTGCGCCCGACCAGGCCAGGTGCTTCTTTATTTACTTGCTTCACATCTTTTAGCAGCTTTATTGAGAGATAATTTATATGCAATAAACTACAGGTATCGAAGGTGTACCGTTTGCTAAGTTTGGACACATGTACACACTGAAATCATGAAAGTTTTCTCGTGCCCCTTCACCCCTCCAACCCCATCCGATCTATCACTGTAGATTACTTTGCATCTTCTAAATTGTTATATAAATGGAAACAAACAGTATGTACTCTTTCTTTTCCACTAGACATAATTATTTTAGATGCATCCATATTGTGCGCATCACTAGTTTCTTCGTTTGTATTCTCGAGCAGTAGTCATTGTACGGGTACACCGCCATTTGCTTATCCACTCATCTTGACTGACATTTGGAATTATAGCTGCTACGAACATGCAATATGCAAGTCTTTGTATGGACAATAATTTTTTCCTTGGATAAATGCCTAGGAGTAGAATGACTGGATCATATAGTGGATGTATATCTCACTTAGAAAAAATAAACAGCTGTATTGAAGTGTATTTTATATATATATAAGATCTACTCATTTTAAGTGTACAATTTACTCATTTTAGCAAATTTACGGAGCTGTGAAGCCATCATGGCAATCCAATTTGAGAACATGTTCATGACCCCAAAATGATCCTTCGTGCCCATTTGCAGTAATTCCGTTCCCACCCTAGACCCAGGGGACCACTAAAATATTGTCTGTCTCTATAGGTTTGCCTTTTCTGTATATTTCATGTAAATGGAATCATACGATAGGTGGTCTTTTGTGTCTGCCTTTTTTCACTTAGCGTAATATTTATGAGGTTCATTCGTGTTGTAGCAGGTGTCGGCACTCCATTCCTTTTTATTGCCAAATAGTTTCCATTGAATGGCTGGACCACATTCAGTTTATCCATTTATGAATTGATGGATATTTGGATTGTTTCCATTTTTGTGTGTGTGGCTATTCTGAATAATGCTGCCAGGAACATTCAGGGACAAATCTTTGTGTGAACACGTTTTCAATTCTCTTGGGTAAGTACCTAGGATCGAATTGCTAGGTCATACGGTAATCTTATATTTAACTTTTTAAGATACTGCCAAACTGTATTCCAAAGTAGCTGTACAATTTTAGACCCCCACCAAGCAGAACATGTGGGATCCAGTTTCCCCCATCCTTGCCAACACTTGGTATAGTGAGTCTTTAATTTTTCACACCATAATTTTAGACGTATAGTTATGTAATGGTATGTGGTTTTATCTTATATTTTGCCTACTGAATGGAGCCCAGAGCAAGATGAGACTGTTGAAAGCCAGACTAAAATGAAAGCTGGCGTTAGAGGTGATCCTGGTGGGTAAGGTTGCTCTCTGTGTTCTCTGCCGAGCCTCAATAGGAGAGTTTTATGATGCTGAGCATCTTTTTATGTGTTTATTTGCCATCTGTAGCTCTTCTTTGGTGAAATGTCCATTCAATTCTGCTACTCATTTAAAAAATTGGGTTGTTTTGTGAGTGCTTTATTATTATGGGTATAAATTTTTTAACAGATATGTGATTTGCAAATATTTTCTCAGTTTTGTGACTTGTTTTTCCATTAACAATGTCTTTCAAAGGACAAGGTAATTTTTATCAAGTCTAATTTATCAATTTTCTCTTCTTTAGATTGTGCTTTTGGTGTTGCCTGAGAAATTTCTGCTTGATCCAAGGTCACAAAGATTTTCTCCTAGGTTTTGCAATTAAGTCTATGATACATTTGGAGTTAAGTTTTACATATGGTACAAACAAAGAAGGTCCTGAAAATTTTGTTTTGTGGTGTGTGTGTCTTTGTCATAGGGGTGTCCGATTGTTCCTGTACCTTTTGCTAAAAGTGAAAAGACTCTCCTTTCTCTATTGAATTGCTTTTGCATCTTTGTCAAAAATTAATCGATCATATATATATATATATGAGACTATTTCTGGACTTTCTATTCTGTTTCAGTAATCTGTTTAACTAGCTTGATGGCAATACTGCACTCTGTAGCTTTATAGTAAGTCTTGAAGCAGGTAGTATAGGTCATCTGACTTTGTTCTTTGTTTTCAGAATTGTTTTGACTTTCTTGGCCCTTTGCATTTCCACATGAATTGTAGAAATGATTAATTTCCACAAAGAAACTTACTGGAATTTTGATTGGGATTACATTGAGTCTATAGGTCTACTTGGGGAGAATTGACATGTTAACATTTTTGAGTCTTTCAATCCATAAACACAGTATTTCTCTCCAATTATTTAATCTTTAATTTCTCTCAACATTTTATAATTTTTAATGTGCAGTCTTGTACTTTTTTTTGTTAGATTTATCCCTAAATATTTTTCATTTCATATATCCTTCATGCTACTTTAAATGGCATTTAAAACATTTCAATTTTGGATTGCTTATTGCTAATATATAAAAATAAAATCGATTTGTTTATTGATCTTGTATCCTGCAGCTCTGCAAAATCCATTAACAATTCTAGTAGCTTTTCTGTAGATTCCATGAGATTTTCTATTATGTTGTCTGTGAATAATGACAGTTTTAATTCTTCTTCCACTCTACTTTTATTTTTCTTAATGCACTGGCTAGAACTTTAGAATAAAATTGGAGTGGTGAGAGCAGACATCCTTACTTTTTCCTGATATTGGGGGAAGGGCAGGGGAAGCATTGTCTTTTATTATGAAATATGCTGTTAACTGTAGGTGTTGCTTTTTATCAGGATGAGGAAGTTCCCTTCTAGTCCTAATCTGCTGGCAGATTTTTAAAAATCAGAAATGATCGTTGGATTTTGTCACATGCTGGGACATCTAACGTAAGACAGATTGTGGCACTCCCAGTTCCAACCACTAAGAAGAAGGGCCAATACTTGGGTTTTTCTCCATCTACTGAGATGGCTTTTCTTTCTTTTTGTCCGTTAATTTGGGAATCACAAGGATTGATTTTAAAATATTCTGGGCCAATCACTTCTTTCATGGCCTCGTTTTTTGTTTTGTCTGTAAAATGGGACAACAATACACATCTTAAAGCACATTTATGAAGCTGGCATGCATTGGCATATGGAAAACATCTGGCGCATAGTAGGCACTCCATATAAATTTACTTAATATTTTACAGACTGCAGTATAAGTTTCTGTTCGTATCTTACGCTGCCTCTCTCTCCGTCCTCCAAGCAGGAACTCTTCTTAATTATAACCTGCCTCCCAGTGCCTAGTCCTACTTGGCATAAAGTAGGCATGATAAATACTTGAAAGAAAGTATGAAAGAAAGAGTTGCCAGCCGCCTCCTATTCTGCTCACCGCGGTATCCCACAGCGACCTCTCATTGTTTCGCAGAGGCGTTAGTTAGTTCCTGACTCTGAAACTGCCTCCACCAAATGCGGCATAGCGGCCCCATCCTGACCAATCGGAGCTCTCCTTCCGGGGGCCCGCCCCATAAAAAAAAAATCAACCTTAGGGTTTGACCAATCATCTGTTGAGCAACGCTATTAGTCCCGCCTCAGTGTTGAAACTACCGCTTCTGAACACAGAGCAACGCTCGCAGGCGCGTCTTGGCCCTGACCAATCAGGGAGGTCGGATCGGGCCCCGCCCCCCGACCAGTGTCACGTGGGCTGGGCGGGGAGGTACACCTGGTTGCGAGGGGCGGCTGGCGGCACGGATGGGGGCTTTTCAGCTGTGAGTGCGGGAGTGGGGGGCTGGGGCCGTGGTGAAGGGCTCGGCTTGAGGCCCCGCGTGCGCCCCCGCGGAGGATTCGGGGGCTGCGATGGGAAAGATGGATTTCACGCCAAGTGCTAAGATGGGCTGAATCTCCCTTTCCCGAAGGTCCCGCTCCTGCGTCCCCCGCAGTTTCTCTGCTGCCCCAGTTTCTCTTTCGAACGTTGCCTTTCCTTTGTGTTTGCGTAGCTTTGAGCTTTCCATAACGGGGCCGGAACTGAAAGAGGGCAGTGCAGGCTGTTCTCTTTAATCCGGTACGAAAACGGAGACCTGAGTCTCTCGTTCAGGCCCCGGGATTTCCGGTCCTGCGGATCAGGCTCATTGCCTCCTTGCGTGCAAGAGTCCCCCACAGTCGTCTGTACTCGCATCTCCCCTGTCCCCACTTCCCTGCGGGGCATATGTGAGGGGGGTGGGGCGTCCAGTGTAAGTCTGGCTTCTCTCTGCCTTAGCTCCTGCAGCTGCGTCCTAAAGAGCACCCCCGCCCCCACACATACACACACCCGGTGTGGGAGGTCTCCAGGTTATGAGTTTGGGTGGGAGGACTGGGGCAGGGTTTCTGGAAATGGATGTCTGACCAGACGGACCCAGTATTAAAAAGAAATAGTATGTACTGGAGGAGACTTTCTGCTCAGAGGAGTCTGCACTTGGGCTTGAGAGAAATGGGAAGCCCCTTCCCCTAGCCTACAGAAATCCCTTCCCGAGGCATCTGTGTGTCACTGAGCCTGGATTCCTGGGGGAAAGGAAGGGAAGCGAGGGCTGGGAAAAGGAGGAGGCTGCTTCCCAGGCCCCTCGCCACACTACTGGGGAAAGGCTGGCTGACTGTGACTAGATTTGGGATCAAATTCTGTCCTTGCCGCTTTCTGGCTGTGTGACTTGGTGCAAGTTGCATAACTTCTCTGAACTTTGGTTTCTTCATTTGTAAAATGAAAGAGAAGCAGGCAGAATGGACAGGATAGAGGGAAGAGTCCTAGTGTCATGCTATCTTGGCTTCAGGTAGCCGAGCTGGGCCTGAAACCCAGCCGTGAGGGCACTGCGCCCAGGAGTCAGTGATATCCGCGGTGGGAAGCCAGGCCAGACACCTGGAATGGTGCAGACCGAGGATCTGGCGCAGCTGCGGCAGCTCAACCTGGAGCTCCTGAGGCAGCTGTGGGTTGGGCAGGATGCCGTGCGGCGGTCGGTGGCCAAGGCATCCTCGGAGGTGAGTGTCCACCTTGGGAACTCCCAGAGGATGAGAAAGGGGCTGCTGATTCTCAGGCCAGAATCCGAGACTCCGGGGTCATCTCGTGCGGCATGCCCATTTTATTGCTAATGAGAAAACAGGCCCAGCAAGGGATGGGACTGGCCTGGGACACCACAGAGCTGGAGCAGGGACGAGGACCCAGGCCTTCATGCCCAGGTGACCTGGCCTCTCTGTTCTAGTCAAGCCTGGACTCCAGCAGCAGCTACAACCCAGAGATGCCATTGTCTCAGGGGACATCTTCTGTGGCTCCGAGAGCCTCCAGCCCACGTGGTGCCCACCAAGGTGATCCATGTGATATGTCCTCACCTGGTGGCGCCAGCTCTGGGGTGATCTCTCTCTCACCTGCCAAGCGCCAATACCAGGGGTCCCTGAGTCCACTGAGGCCTTGCTCAGTACCCTCGCTGGCCAACTCAAACGCAAATGACCCAGAGCGTTCAGCAGAGCTGGAGGCACAGGCCCCAAGGTTCATCCCGGATCAACAAAGAAAGCTATCCAAGGTAACACGGGAGAGAGGGACATCGTTGATGGGAGCTTCCTTGAACCTCAGTTTTCCTGTTTGGTAGATGTACTTGTGGGCAGCCCTCCTTGCGAGGTGAGTGGCTGTCCAGGAGATACCATGAGTCTTTTCCAGCTCAGCCTAAGTGCTGGATAAGTGGCGGTGATTAGTTTCTCAGACAGCACTTTGGGAAGATGCTGATGAGCCCCATTATACAGATGGAAAGACCAAGGCTCAGAGGCCACACTTATTCAGAGTCACACATAGAGAGGGGTGGAGGCCAGACTCTCATCTTTCAGTTCCTGGGGCCCATGTCAGGGTGTGTCAGGTGTAAGTTAAGTCATGGTCCCTTTTCCTCCTCCAGGGTGGGGTCTTTCTTGGGCTGGCCTAACTTTTCCCCTTTGCCTCCTCAGCCAAGAGTCACCTTCGACAGGGAGTCCCCAATGCCTGAGCGGAGTTGGCGCCTCCGACCGTACCTGGGCTACGACTGGATTGCAGGTGTGGCCCGCCCCATGCACACATCCCATTTTGCTTATGCACCTGCCTGAGCCCTCACCCAGAGCTGCTGTAGTTTCTCTGACTGACCCTTCTTGGCGAACACCTTCTGTCTATACCGTGTCTTCTCTCAGCCCCTGGCACGGTGACAGGCACAGAGATAGTGCTCAATGAGTGTTTCAGGAATAGATGAATGAGTCATGAATTTGAGCATTTATTATGTGCCAGGCCTCCGTAAAACTCTGTATATCATCTCTACATTTTATTGCCCATCTCCTTCCCCAGCAACCTCAGTGGTCTCCTGACTGGTCTCTCTCTGGCCTCTTTTGCTCCAGTTACTATCCATTTTTGACACAGCAGCCAGAAGGAATTTTTAAATGTGAGGATCAGGTCATATCACTCTGAGTGTGTAGCATTTAGAGTAAAATCCAAAATCTTTTTCCAGACTTATGAGGCATGACTTGGCCTCTGTGGCCCCGTGAAATGACCTCTGACTTGCTGCCTCCTGGCCGTTTGCTCTGGCCTCGCTGGCTTCCTTGTTGGTCTTTGAACCTTCTATGCTCATGGCCACCTCAGGGCCTTTGCCCGGAATGTACTTCCCCAGGTTCACACCTGCTGGTTCTTTTTTCTCATTCAGGGTTCAGCTTAAATGATAGGCCTCCTGTGGGCATAATGTCATAGAGACACCGCTCTTACATCACTGCCATTGGCATGTTCTTCATATTATTTTTTGAGATCGTCTCGTTTGCTTGTTTCTTGTATGACTTCTCCAGTAGAATATCAGCTCCGTTAGAGCAGGGGCCTGGCTGTCTTTTCACTGGTGCATTCCCCAAGCCTGAGCCTAGAGCGGTGCCTGGCACCTAGTAGGGCCTCAACCAGCACTTGTTAGATGAGTGAGTGAACGGCCCCCCGAAGAGGTTGGTGCTTTTTGGATCTTCATTTTCACAAAGGAGGACACCGAAGTACAGAGTGATCGAGTTACTGCCCAGAGGCAGGTGCTCCAGCGGATTGCTGGGATCCAGTGGTGCTGTGGACACAGGTCCTGAGATTCCCAGACCGTCAGCTCACTGCCTTGCTTCCCGTTTCTGGGAAAATAGAGGCACCTGCCCCCTGCCTGCCCTGTGTCCAGGCGCTCTGGCCGCCCTCCGCCCCGAGGATGAAGATCAGCGCTCCCATCTCAGGCCCGTCCCTGCATTTGTACACTCCAGTTGGTCCCCGATTGGCTCCCAGAGGGTTTGCTTCCTATAATTCTCTCTTTTCTCCATCATCCTTCTGCCCTATCAGCATCCGAACGCCCTGGAATCACAGAGCACTGGTTTTATTGAGTGCTTATTATGTGTGGGCAGTTCCAAGAGCTTTATTCTGCTTTATGGCCATGAACTCCTCTACTCCTCACAGCAGTCATATCCGACAGGTGCAGTTATTGTCCCCTTTGACAGATGAGAAGGCTGAGGTGCAAAGAGGCTGAGAAATTCAGCAGAGTCCCACATCTGGTCAGGGAAAAGCTGCTGTCGGTTATTTCCCATCTCGATGAAACTCTTCCCCCTTTATCGTCCGTTTGCTTCCAGTTCCTGCCCATTTTCTCCGCTTTTCTTTATAACAAACCTCAGAAGGGCTGTCCAGACTCGCTGCCTCTAGTTTCTCTCCCATTTTTTCTTAAATCTGGCTTCCTCCTCATCCTGGTCATCAGTGACATCTGCGTTGCCAGCTCCCAGCTCAGTTCTCAGTCTACACATCACTTCGCCCCTGAGCAGCAAGGGACACAGCGGCCACTCCCTCCTCCCTGAAACTCTCCCCCTTCTCCCCGGCTCTCCCCCTTCTCCCCGGCTCTCCCTGTGCAAGGGACACAGCGGCCACTCCCTCCTCCCTGAAACTCTCCCGCCTTCCAGGGCCCTGCGCTCCTCCGGCTCTCCCCGTTCTCCCCGGTTCTCCCCCTTCTCCCCGGCTCTCCTTCCAGTCTCTGCTGGATCCGCTTCCTTGTTCTGACCTCTAAACACCTGTCTTCTGATTCGTCTCTGTCCGCCCCGCCTCCCCTGTGCCGAGGCCTTCTGTGCTCTGTACTCCCTCGTTTTTATCTCTAGCCCACCCTACTCTGAATTCCAGGCTTGTGTATCCGGCTGTCTTTTCTACGTGACATGGTAGGTGTCTTAGACGACTCTCACCTCCAAAGTCAAGGTTTTGATTTTTTTCCCACCTGCCGTCTTTCTTGTCTTTGTAAATGGCAACTCCACGTTCCTAATGATTGGTCAGGCCGTAACTTCGGGATCAGCCTTGATTTCGATTCCTGTCTCCTTTTTGCATATTTTTAAATGTTTCTCTTCCAGTCCATTAGCATATCCTGGTAGCCCTGCCTTCAACGTATTTCTAGAATCTGACTATGTTTCTCTTCCAGTCCATTAGCATATCCTGGTAGCTATCCTGCCTTCAACGTATCCTGCCTTCAACGTATTTCTAGAATCTGACTCTTTCTTTCTACCAGGATGCCTGTGGTCACCTCTAGCTGCTGCCTCTGCTTCCCCTCACCTGCAGCAGTCCGAGGGGGAATCTATAAAAACCCGTGGCCGATCTGATGGCATCACTCCGTGTCCCCAAGCCCTCTGCCAGCTTCCCAGCCTCATCTGCCTCATTCTCATCCCTCACTTCCCTCCAGCTGTTCCTCAGACATACCAAGCGCAGCCCCCCAGGGCCTCGCATGTGCTCTTCCTTCCGCCTGCCATGTCCTCATGGCTCCTCACCTCCCTCCATCAGTTCTTTGCTCAGGTGTCACCCCACCCAGAGAGGCCTCCCCTGGCACCCCTGCCCTATCAAGCTGGGTTCCCTGACTCTGCTCTTCTCTTTCCTGGCAGGTGTCACCATTGTTCATCTGTTGCCACCATAAGCCTCACGAGGGGAGGGGCTTTGTCTAGGTCACTGCTTTTTCCCCAGCATGTTGGAAACAGTGTCTAGCTTGTAGAAGGGGCTCTATAAATATTTTTTTGCATGGGTGGTTGGATGTGCGTCAGGGTAGACAGACACTGAGACAAAACCAGCAGTTGCCGTGAGTGGAGGGTCCCTTCCAGGTCTGTACAAGGCTCAGTGCGGACAAAGCAGGTGGACTGGGATGCCAGTGCTGCGTGTGCATTGCGCCTTGGCCAGTGGACTGCCACGTAGCAGCTCCCGGTGCTTTGCCCACCCCAGGGTCTCTGGACAACAGCTCTCCCGTCAGCAGCAAGCCTGAGGCCTTCTTTGCGAAGCTGCAGGAGTTCAGGGAAGCCAACAAGGAGGAGTGTATTCACAGTGACCCCGGGTGAGCAGGGGTGGGCGAGCGGTGGGCAGGCAGCCCGGGGACCCCGTCACTCCGCCTGCTCACCTCTCGCCCTCACAGACCCCAGCTCCTAGGCCTGCGGGAGAGCAGTGTTGCCGAGGAAGAGCATGAATGTGAGTGGAAGGCCTCGTGGGCCGCCCCAGAGCCCAGCCGAGGTCTTAGAGACCCGAGGGGGGCACCTGGGGTACTGGGGACTTGGGGAGGGAGGTTTGGGACCCAGACAGGGTGGGGCAAGCCCCAGTGGGAGGTGGGATGAGCTCAATGGCCTCGGGATTCAGGCTGGTCCTGTGTCACGCTTCCTCCCCTCCCCAGCAGCCTTCATTTTCTCCCCAGCTGCCTCATTTTCTCTCGTGCCCTCCACTCCCTCCTCTCTGCACACATGTCACCTGTCGGGGGGGGCGGTTGGGGGGAGTCCTGGCTCAGTCACATGAGCACAGGAGTCTTTGCTGTGGGTTTATATGTGCCGCATACACTGTGTGCGTACATGTGGGGGTATTCACGTGAATGTGCGAGCGTGTGCACCTTGTGTGTGTGATTATCGCTACAGGCATGTTCATGTGTGTCCACGAATACGACTGTGTGTGAAGCCGTGCTCCATGTTCGCACGCATGATGTTCACACACAGTATGTGTGCATGTGCACATGTGTGTCATGCCTGAATAGAAGGGTGTGCTTTGTGTGCGTGCTCTGCATGCGTACACGTGTATATGCCTGTGTGAGTGGCCGGGGGGTGTGGCGGGGTCGGCAGGCCCCTGTGATCGGGCCCAGGGATGCAGGTTTCCTGGCTGAGAGGATGGCTGCTTCTCATGGGCCTTGCAGGTGTGTACTGCTACCGTGTCACTCGGCGCCTGTTTCTGGTGCCTTCAGATCCTGGCACCCCTTGCCGATTGTGCAGGATACCACGGGACCAACGGGGCCCTAGGACCCTGGCGGAGCCAGCACAGGTCAGGTGAGTGGCCAGAGCAGGCGGACGCCTGAGGGGCAGCTGTGGGGGCAGCAGCACCTGAGGCGCTCAGAGCCCAGGGAGGGGAAGACGGGCCTGGGGCTGTGGCCCCACGGTAGCCAGGAGGCCCCAGCCACAGCGTTCCCACTGACACTCTCGCCCAGGGTGAGTGTCCCGCTGTCCGTCCTGGACCCCCCGCATCGGTACCGCATCCACCGGCGGAAGAGCTTTGACGCTTCTGACACACTGGCGTTGCCACGGGTGAGCAGCCAGGGGGCCTGGTTGGGGATGGGATGGAGATGGGGCTGCCCCCCACCTGGCCCAGGTCCCCAGATGGAGCCTGAGGCCCAGGGAGGGCCAGGGACAGGCCAACGCCACACAGCCAGGCTGGGCTCAAGGAGAACGAGGAGTTAAAGCTGGGCCATTTCCATCGGCTGTACTCCCTTGTTCCCTGAGGGAGGCGGGGTACCCTACCCACCCCCTGGAGTTCAGGATAAGTATCTGCCCGCACACTGGCATAATGCCAGTGGGTACCATCTGTTGAGTTCCGGTATGCCACAAGTGCATTCCTCAGGAAGATTAAATCATGAAGTCCCCACAGCAACAGGAGTTAAAGCTGGGCCATTTCCATCGGCTGTACTCCCTTGTTCCCTGAGGGAGGCGGGGTACCCTACCCACCCCCTGGAGTTCAGGATAAGTATCTGCCCGCACACTGGCATAATGCCAGTGGGTACCATCTGTTGAGTTCCGGTATGCCACAAGTGCATTCCTCAGGAGGATTATATCATGGAGTCCCCACAACAAGAGTGCAGGGTCTGCCGCTGGCCCACTTTACAGACGAGGAGACTGAGGCAGAGGGAGGCAACTTGTCCAAAGTTGGCCAGACGGAAGAGCTGGGATTTGAACCCAGGTCTCTGTGCTTCTCTGGGGCCTGCCATAGAGATGTCTTTTGTGTCTCCTGCGTAGGATGGGGGTCACTGGGGACCCCACTCACTCCTAGTTGAGGCTGGGGAAGCTGGGCCTAGGAAAGTTGGTTTGCTCATCTGTGGAAGGATACAGCAGCCCGTCCTCAGGCTTGTGCGCTGAGGTGGGGCAGTTCAGTGAATCACCTGTCGGGCGTGGGGCAGAGCGAGGAAGCACTCCATTAGCGTCCGCAGCCTTCCCTCTGCGCATCTGGGGTCAGACCCAGGGCCTGGGTCAGCAGGCTCAGGAAAGGGTGACCCAGTAGGTGGACACAGGCCCCTGCCCGGGGAGGGTCTCAGTCTGCGGGAGACACTGTGCTGGTTTGTCTCTTGGTTTGGAGCGGGGACCTGCCCAGGCCAGGTGTCCTGACTCTTTGCTCTCCACAGCACTGCCTGCTGGGCTGGGACATTCTCCCTCCGAAGTCCGAGAAAAGCTCAGCCCCCAAGAGCTTGGATCTCTGGTCCTATGTCACCTCTGAGGCTCCGCGCCAGAAGCTGTCGGCAGCCGGCTCTTCCCACCTGGTATGGTGCGGGGAGCCCTGGCGGGGACAGAGACCTGGGAGCACGACTGGAGACTGCACAGTCCCAGGGGCAGGATTGGGATCAGGACGGCAGAGCCTGGAGGTGTCTCTCTGCACCCCTCTTCCCAGGCTCTGCCACTCCCCACCGGGAAGGTGACCCTGACTCTGAGATCCAGGAGGGGGTGAGGCTGGAACTGGGGGGACCTGCCCCCAAAGCTGCCCCCTCTGACAGCCCTCATTCACCATACAGGCTCTGCTATCACGGGGCCAGCCCCCCACCCCAATCTGGTCGGAACCCCAGGTAGTGCAGCCCTGTGCCCCCCGGCTAAAGCCCTGAGGACTGGCCACTCAGGAGGACAGCGCCCTGCCATCACCTCTAGCCTCTCCCCTGTGGCAAGGGCGCCCACGAGAGGGGAGCCTTGCCCGGCCACAAATGGGGGTGGATTCAACACTCCACACTCCTAGGTTGGGCAGGTAGGCCCAGGCCTGTCTCCTTCTTGGGGACAGAGGGGAGAACCCAGGGTGGGGGGTAAGGGCGTTCTGTGACATGTTTGTAAATAAAGCTCAGCGCTCTCTGCAGCTCCAGATGCGCACGTGTGCTGGTCTGTCCTGCTGCTGCCGTCAATGCCCAGGAGGTGCCCTGGCCCTGGCCTGCCCTCCCCTCACCCGGGGAGAGATACCTCCAGCGTTCTGCGCTGGGTAGGGTGGGTCCAACTCCCTGATCGTGGCTCTTTCTGCAGCTCCCAACTCAGGGTAGATGGCTTCTCAGGCAGAGGCCCAGGTCATCTCAGTGAGGGGCTCGGGGTCTCAGGCTGTCTTCTGTCGATGAGGCTGAAGTTATGACAGTGGGGAGTGAGTGAGCCCTCCCCTTCTTCTTGGTCCCTGACACCAGGGTCCATTCATAGAAGGCTCTCTTGAAGTCTCTGGGCCAGGTGGCTTCTCCATGCCCCTCTGTAGCCCAGCCCTGGAGGCCGTGGATGATCCAGAGGGATCTGACGGAGGGACACTGAGGGCCAGGCCATGAGTCACAGTAAGGCTGGCAGAGAGTCCAGGCCTCTCCTGTTGGATTAATAAGCAGACCTGTCTTCCCCCCCATAGGTTGAACAATATGAAATTTCTGGCATTTTTTAAAGATAAAAATGGGGAGCTGAAGCCCACAGAAAGCACGTGCTTTTTTTTTTGAAGCTTCTCAGCTTAGAGGGGTGGATCTAGGGCTGTGGTCTCCTGTGGCAGCTTGTGAAGCTGTCCGTAGAAACCTTTCTCTTCCCATTGTTCACAGCACATATATTGGTGAGGATAATCAAGTTTATGCTGCAGTAACAAATTAACCGGCAGATCTCAGTGGTTCGACATAAAGGCTTTTTCCTGGCTGACTTGCTTAATCTACCTTTCTGTCATGGGTCACATGGGGCCTCTGCTTTGACTTTGTCTCTTGGGGACCTAGGCCAACGAAAGCTCTGCCATGGGGGGCATCACCAGTTGCTTCAGCCCAGAAACGACACACAGGTCTCTTCTGCTCATGGTTCATTAGCCAGAGCTACTCATCTGGGCCCCGCCTGACAGCACAGGGTTGGGACATGAAGGGGGCTCATGGGATTTTTGGTGAGCATTGCTGTCCTCCGTGTCATTACCTGACTTCCTCCAGCTCTGTCCATTCAGGGCAGGCACTGAGAGCCCCCAGGCTCTGGGCAGTAAAGGCCACTAGCAGAATCGTAGGCACCGTGAATTCGTGCCTAAAGTCTTTCCTCACTCCCTCTGTGGTTCTCACCTGCAATTCCTTCAGCAGCCAGGCAGCTAAGGTGACTAGGACTGGTGCGACTCAGGGCCACCTGCTGAGCACATGTCTCCTCCAGAGGCTTTTAAGGTCAAACGCTTGTATGATCCAAACTGTACACGTCCGCGGGCAGGTTCTGCAGCAGGTCACGGTTTGCCACTTGACTTCAGGACCTGAAGAAACAAAATCTCTTCTACGTGTAATTTAAAAAAAAATTTTTTTAAATTTATTTTTAATTGTGTAAAATATACATATTATAAAATTTACCATTTTTATATATACAGTTCAGTGGCATTAAATACATTTACGTTGTTGCGCAGCCATCACCTCTAGCCATCCCCAGAATGGTTTTCATCTTGCAAAACCGAACTCCATACCCACGAAACAGCAGCCCACTCTCCCCTGCCAGCCCCTGGCAGCCACCATTCTGCCTTCTGTCTCTGTGGATTTGACTCCTTCAGGGACCTCACTTGAGTAGAATCATAGAGTGTTTGTCTTTTTTTATGACCGGCTTATTTATGTTGTAATGTGTCAGAATTTCCTTCCTTTTTAAGGCCGAATAGTATTTTATTGTATAAATCTGCCACATTCATCCATTACGGACACTTGGATCCCTTCCATCTTTTGGTTATTGTGAAAAGTGCTGCCCTGAACACGGGTGTGCAAATACCTGTATGAGCCCCTACTTCTGGTTCTTTTGGGTCTGTACCCAGAAGTGGAGTTGCTGGATCATGTGGTAATTACGTGTTTAATTTTTTGAGAAATCTCTTCAGTACGTCCTCAATGTCCTGGATAGGTTCTGTGACTTTAAGTGAAACAATGTATATTGAAACCGGTTTTACCACAGGCCAATTGATAAAAACGAGTTAAGTTCCTCTGGTGTCTCAGTATTACAACAAAATGACGTTTGACAAAACGACACGATTCGAGGACCTGCTCTACTGTATTTCGTAGCAGCTGCACCATTTTACATTCCCACCAGCCATGCAGAAAGTTTCCAGTTTCTCCACATCCAACACTTAATTTCTGCTAGTGTGATAATAGCCATCGTAATGGGTGTGACGCGGTATCTCGTAGTTTTGATTTACATTTCCTTGATGATTAGTGATGAGAGCATCGTTTCACGTGCTTGCTTATAAGCCATTCACGTCGTCTTTGGAGAAATGGCTATTCAAGTCCTTTGCCCATTTTTGAATTGGCCAGTGTGTCTTTTCGCTGTTGTTTCACATGTAATTTTAAGTCAAAAAGCCTGTGGGAGTCAGTGGTTTCGTTAGAAATTTTTTTGGCTAGAGGGTGAAGAGTATCTGGAAGCCTCTGTCACACAAAAACGACCAAATTTACGGCTGAGATTAGTTTATGAGTTCAGCTGATCAGAATAGTGTCAGCTCGAGCAAGATAAAAGTGTTTCTTTCTCGTAAAAGTCCAGGTTGCAGTGCTGGCTCCATGAAATCGTCAGCACAAGTGGCTTCTCTGGAAGGAAAATTCTTCTGAAAATAAGTTTCTGACCTTTTTGCTTTTACTCATTTCCATGTTCAGGAAACCACAGACCCAGGTCTCCAGATTGTGCTTGATCAAACTCGCAGTCCCACTGCTTGAAACACTCACCTTCACTTTGTGTTCCCAGGACAGAAGCTGCAAACTCTGACACACACTGGCTGTGGGAAAAGACCAATTTCAGAGATGTTAAAAGGTTAAAATTCACATCTTAGAATTAACAAGATGCAAAAGGTGGTCAGCCTAAGAACTTTGGTCTTTCTGTATCCTGGTTTCTGGGCTCTGTGCAGCCGGGTTCGGTGGTAGCCGCCTTGGGGCCCTCTGGAACTGTCGGTTCGAGGGGGAAGACAGCGGCCTCGCCTGACCTTCGCTGCCAGTCTGCCAGCGCTGCAGGGCGGCGCTTAAGACAGGCCACGGGCTTGTCCTACCTGCGCTGCCCTTCCAGAGCTGCTCCATGTGGATGCTTGTTTGGGGACAAGGCTTTTTCAAACCCAAGTCCCCAAGAGTGAAGGTCACGGGCAGAGAGGCCCCTGAACAGAGCTTCCTGCATTCCAGCACCTGCCCCTCCCAAGTGTCTCTGAATGTCAGTGCTGCCATCCCAGGGCCCTAATCCTTCCGGGCCCTTCTGTCCCTCTCACTTGGGATTGCATGGATCTCTTCCTGTCCCCCACCTTCCCACCTTCCAGCTCTACTTGCCTTCCTCATCTCAGCCAGAGTGCCCTTTTCAAGAAGCCGCCCCGAGCCCCTGGAGCTCTGATGCATCCCCGCCGCCGCCCCGCTCCGTGTGCACACCCCCCTCCCTGCACCTCTCTATTTCGGCTCTCACATGGTAAATCACGAACCGTGACGTCCGTTGCCTCGTGTCTCTCGCCTGCTATAATGTAAGCTCCATGAGAGCAGACATGGTGCTTTTTTTTTTTCTTGGATTTTTTTTTCCCCTTTCGTTTTCTCAAAAGTAGTGGCTAAACTGTATTTCAGAATTTGGCCTTCTCCTGCGGCCTGGTGTCTCACCTGTGACGTGAAGGCGATGGGAAGGAGGCTTGTGGTTGGGCGCTTGCTTCTTGCTTCTCTCCCTCTTTTAAATGAATAGTGTTCTTTCTTTTTGTCTCCTCCAAGTAGGTAGCATAAATCCCAAAGGAAAAAAGCAAGATCACCTACTTCTTCCAAAATCGATGTCTCGCGTTCGCCATTTAGAAATAAGAACTCTTATTTCTCTATCATGGCTGTCTGTCGCCTGTGTCACAGCAGAGACACAGGACCTTCACAGGTCATTCATTCATTCATTCATTCATTCACCACTCAGGCAGAGAGCCCCTACCACAGGACCTTCACAGGTCATTCATTCATTCATTCACCACTTAGGCAGAGAGCCCCTACTGTGTGTGTGCCAGGCACTGTTCTGGGCTCTGCAGATAACAGTGACAAGCCAGACAACAGTGACAACAGGGACCTGTCCCCGTGGAGCACCCATGGTGGTGCTGGGACATGGACTGAAAGAAGCCAACACGTAAATGTATCAGGTGGTGCCAAACCAGAGGGAAGAAGCCAGGCCGGGGCCTGACCGCTGCTTCCCTTTCTCACATCTCTCACTTCCCACACCGCTCGCCAGCGAGGCCCCAGCCCTGCTGAAGCTTTTTCTCTGGTTCTTACGCCTGCTGGCTCCCCTTGGCCTCTGGGTCTTCATTCATGCTACTCCCTCTGCCCCAAACTCTCTTCCACCGAACTCCTCAGACCTCAGCTCCTACGTCCACTCCTCAGAGGCCTGCCCTGATCCCGCAGACCTGGCTAAGGCGCCCCAAGTCAGGCCCCACCTCTGGCCGTCCATCATAGCTTCCGCTGCACTCAGCAGTAAGATCCTTGGGGCAGGAACTGAGCCTGTCTTGTCCTCTGCTCTGTCCCAGTACAGCACGTGGCATACGACAAGTGTTCAGTAAGCAGACTTTGGATGAATGATTGAATTAGCCTCCAGGTCCTGGGAGGGTAGAGGCCACTCAGCCCCAGAACGTGAAGTGAGTGTGTCCCAGGAATTAGGCTTCAATGAGCTGTAGCTGGTCTAGCTGTTACTGGTTTTCAGTACAAAAAGTTGTCTTATGTATCAGGCAAATCGTGGAGGTCTGGCCTCCTGGGATGGGAGGGGGGAGTGAGGGGGACAGCTGCGACATCTCCATCCTGGAAATTTCCTGTCCCTGGTAGCAGCTGCGGGCCCCAGTCCCTTGCAGATGGGGAATACATGGAGGCCAATGAACACTAGCTGGCTTTCCAAGAGACTCTTCTGGCTTCTCAAAATACAGAAGCACGTGATAGCCCTCCTGGAGAGTG